GTTCAAAAGCATCAATTTTTTGGCACTCAGCTTTTTTCACAGTCCAACTCTCACATCCATATATGACAACTGGAAAAACCATAGCCTTGACTAGAAGGACCTTTGGGGAGTATCAAATAGTGAGAACTCACACAAAGGAAACCACTTGAATATGAGCCTGGTCATCACCCAACCACCAGTAGCAGCCCATGCAGGATGCCTCATCTAAACAACAAACAAAACAAAAATACAAACCCAATCAGCAGCAGCCAGGATTATCACCTCACTCAGCCCTGCCATTCAGAGGAAAAGCAAACAAATGAGCAAAACTCAGCACAAGTCTCACCCTATACTAAGCTTTCACAAAACACTGGACCAGGAGGGCAGAAACCAAAAGGAATAAAGAATTCAACCTTGAAGCCTGAGAAAAGGAGACCTCAAACACAATAAGTTAAAAAAAAAATAATGAAAATGCAGAGAGGATCAATTAACAAAGACCTAGAAGAATTAAAGAATAAACATACAGAGACAAACAACAAATTACTGAAATTAAAAATACTCTAGAAGGAATCAATAGCAGAATATCTGAAATAGAAGGACGAATTAGTGAGCTGGAAGCTAAAATGGTGGAAATAACTTCTTAAGAGCAGAATAAAGTAAAAAGAATGAAAAGAACTGAGGATAGTCTCAGAGACCTCAGGGATAATATCAAACACACCAACATTTGGATTACAGGGGTCCTAAAAGAAGAAGAGAAAAAGAAAGGGTATGAGAAAATTTTTGAAGAGATTATAGTTGAAAATTCCCCCAACATGGAAAAGGAAAGAGTCAATCAACTCCAAGAGGCACAAAGAGGACAAACCCAAGGAGAAACATGCCAAGACACATACTAATCAAACTAACAAAGACTAAACACAAAGAAAGAATATTAAAAGCTGCAAGGGAAAATCAACAAGTAACATACAAGGGAAACCCCATATGCTTCACAGCTGATCTTTCAGCAGAAGCTCTGTAGGCCAGAAGGCAATGGCAGGATGTGTTTAAAGTACTGAAAGGGAAAAACCTACAGCCAAGATTACTGTACCCAGGAAGGATCTCATTCAAAATTTATGGAGAAATAAAAAGTTTTTCAGACAAGCAAAAGTTGAGAATTCAGTACCACCAAACCAGCTTGACAACAACAACTAACATAGTGAAGAAATACAAGAGAAGAAAAAAGATCTACAAAATCAACACCAAACAATAAAGAAAATGGCAATAGGAACATGCATGTGTGTGTGCATGCTTAGTCATTTCAGTTGTGTCTGACTATCTGCTATCCTATGGCCCACGGCCTGCCAGGCTCCTCTGTCCATGGGATTCTCCAGGTAAGAGTACTGGAATGAGTTGCCATTTCCTTCCCCAGGCAATAGGAACACATATATCAATAATTACTTTAAATAGAAATAGATTAAATGCCTCAACCAAAATACATGGATACAAAAACAAGACCCATATATATGCTGTCTACAAGAAACCCACTTCAGACCTAAAGACACATATAGACTGAAAGTGAGAGGATGGAAAATATATTCCATGCAAATAGGAAACAAAAGAAAGCTGGAGTAGCAATCTTCATATCAGACAAATTAGACCTTAAAATGAAGATTATAAGTGATAAGGGAGGACACTACATAATGGTCAAGGGATCAATCCAAGGGAAAGACATAACAATTGTAAATATCTATGAACCCAACACAGGAGCACCTCAATACATAAGACAAACACTAACAGACATAAAAAGAGAAATTGATAGTAACACAATTACAGTAGGAGACTTTAACACCCCACTCACACCAATGGACAGATCATCAAAACAAAATTAATAAGGAAACACAAATCTTAAATGATACATTAGATGAGATGGATCTCATTGATATCTTCAGGACATTCAATCCAAATGCAGAAGAATACACCTTTTTCTCAAGTGCAAATGGAACATTCTCCAAGATAGATCATATCTTGGGTCACTAATCAAACCTCAGTAAATTTAAGAAAATTGAAATCATATCAAGCATCTTCTCTGACAACAATGCTATGAGACTAGATATTACAAGAAAAAACTGTAAGAACCACAAACACATGGAGATTAAACAACACATTTCTAAATAACCAACAGGTTACTGAAGAAATCAAAAGGGAAATCAAAAAAATCAAAAGGGGAATCAAAAAATTTTTAGAAACAAATGACAATGAAAACACGACAACTCAAAACCTATGGGATGCAGCAGAAGCAGTCCTAGGAGGGAAGCTTATAGCAATGCAATCCTACCTCAAGGAACAAGAAAAACATCGAATAGACAAACTAACTTTACACCTGAAACAACTGGAAACAAAAGAACAAAAAACCCCAAAATTAGTAGAAGGAATGAAATCATAAAGATCCGAGTAGAAATTAATGAAAAAAAAGAAAGAAACAATAGTAAAGATTAATAAAACTAAAAGCTGGTTCTTTGAGAAGATAAACAAAATTGACAAGCCTTTAGCCAGACTCATCAAGAAAAAAAGAGAGAACAATCAAATCAACAAAATTAGAAATGAAAAGGGAGAAGTTACAACAGACAATGCAGAAATACAAAGGATTATAAGAGACTACTATGAACAACTATATGGCAATAAAATGGATAACCTGTAAGAAATAGACAGATTCTTAGAAAAGTTCAATCTTCCAAGATTGAACCAGGAAGAAATAGAAACTGTGAACAACCCAATTACAAGCACTGAAATTGAAGCTGTGATCAAAAATCTCCCATAAAACAAAAGGCCAAGACCAGGTGGCTTCACAGGAGAATTCTATCAAACACTTAGAGATGAGCTAATGTCTATTCTTCTAAAACTCTTCCAAAAATTGCAGAGGAAGGAATACTTCCAAACTCATTCTATGAGGCCACCATCACCCTGATACCAAAACCAAACAAAGACAACACAAGAGAAAACTACAGGCCAATATCACTGATGAACATAGATGCAAAATTCCTCAACAAATTTTAGCAAACAGATTTCAGCAATGCATCAAAAAGCTCATACACCATGATGAAGTTGGGTTTATTCCAGGAATGCAAGGATTCTTCAGTATATGCAAATCAAACAATGTGATACACCATATTAACAAATTGAAAGATAAAAACCCTATGATAATCCCAATAGATCCAGAAAAAGCCTTTGGCAAAATTCATCACCCATTTATGATTCAGCTTAGTTCAGTCACTCAGTCGTGTCCAACTCTTTGCGACCCCATGAACTGCAGCATGCCAAGCCTCCCTATTCATCACCAACTCCCGAAGTCCACCCAAACCCAAGTCCATTGAGTCAGTGATGCCATCCAACCATCTCATCCTCTGTCGTCCCCTTCTCCTCCCACCCTCAATCACAGCATCAGGGTCTTTTCAAATGAGTCAGCTCTTCGCATCAGGTGGCCAAACTATTGGAGTTTCAGCTTCAAAATCAGTCCTACCAATGAACACCCAGGACTGATCTACTTTAGGATGGACTGGTTGGATCTCCTTGCAGTCCAAGGGACTCTCAAGAGTCTTCTCCAACACCACAGTGCAAAAACATCAATTCTTTGGTGCTCAGCTTTCTGAGCTTTTTAAGTCCTAGCTACAGAGAAGAAAAAGAAAAAGAATCCAGATTGGAGAAGAAGAAGTAAAGCTCTCACTGTTTGCAGATGAGATGATACTGTACTTAGAAAACCCTAAAGATGTTATCAGGAAATTGCTAGAGCTAATTAGTGAATTTAGTAAAGTTGCAGAATACAAAATCAATACACAGAAATCATTTGTATTTCTATATACTAACAATGAAAAATCAGAAAGAGAAATTAAGGAATCAATCCCATTCACCACTGCAACAAAAATAATTAGATATCTAGGAATAAACTTACTTAAGGAGACAAAAGAAATGTACACAGAAAATTATAAGACACTAATGAAAGAAATCAAAGACAACATAAACAGATGGAGAGATATTCCATGTTCCTGGGTAGGAAGAATCAATATTGTGGAAATGACTATACTACCAATCACTGTCTACAGATTCAATGCAATCCCTATCATATTACCAATGGCATTTTCCACAGAACTAGAATAAAAAATTTCACAGTTCATATGGAAACACAAAAGACCCCAAATAGCCAAAGCAGTCTTGAGAAAGAAGAATGGAGCTGGAGGAATTAAGCTTCCTGACTTCAGATTATACTACAAAGCTACAGTCATCAAGACAGTATGGTACTGGCACAAACACAGAAATATAGACCAATGGAACAAGATAGAAAGCCCAGAAGGAAACCCATGCAACTATGGGTACCTTATTTTTTACAAAGGAGGCAAGAATACACAATGGGGCAAAGACAACCTCTTCAATAAATGGTGCTGGGAAAACTGGAGAGCTACATGTAAAAGAATGAAAGTAGAACACTTCCTAACACCATACACAAAGACAAACTCAAAATGGGTTAAGACCTAAATGTAGGACCTGAAACTATAAAACTTTTAGAGGAAAACAGGCAGAGCACTCGACATAAATCAAAGCAAGATCCTCTATGACCCACTCCTCCTAGAGTAACAGGAATAAAAAAAAAGCAAACAAGTGGAACCTGATTAAACCTAAAAGCTTTTGCACAGCAAAGGAAACACTAACAAGGTGAAAATAGAACCCTCAGAATGGGGGAAATTAATAGGAAATTAGGGGTGAGTCCCGTGACCGAGCAGAGCAGGCGGAATCGGCGAGGTAGCTGCAGGATGGACCGGAGGTGATGGATTACAGGAGGCCTGGGGAGGATCAAGGTTCGTCTCTTCCAGGATTCCGTGGGAACCGTAGTGTGGTTTGAAGCCACTACTGGCCATCCTGAAGCCAGACCTGGCACCCCCAGGTGAGGACACCCCACAGAGAGTGCTGTGTGCCAGCCAGTAACAAGGGAGTGGCGACTAGAGGGAAGGAAGACGTGATGAGAGATGGGGACCCTGAGCCCATCCAGATCCCAGAGATCCAGACTTCCAGAAGCTTCCAAGGCTCTGGCCACAGGCCCCAGCTCCCCTGAGCTGTTTGAGGAATCCTGGCCATCCAGCTCAGGGACCCCTTCCCCACCCAGCAGCACTGAGGACCAGGTGAGAGCCTCTCCACCACCCACCGTGACTGACAGCAGGGACTCCGTGGTGGCCAAGTACATAAACCGGTTCCGACAGGCTCAGCCCACAAGCCGAGAAGAATGCCAGTCTGCAGGCCCAACTCCAGCTGACTTTTGGTGGCTGCAGCCTAAATCTTCAGACCCTGGCAGTGAACTTGCAGCAGCAGGAGCCCATGAACCAGAAGGAAGACCCAACACAGCAGTCCTGACTCATGCTAAGATGGCCAGTGCATCGAAGGCTAAGGCTATGGCACCCCTTCAGGAAATGAAGCAGAGTCTCAACACATGGAACTCATCCCTGCTGGACTTGGAGACACTGAGCTTGCAAAGCAGAGCTGCCAGGCTGCTCAAACGCAGCACGGCCTCCATCTCCTCCACCTCCTCGCTCAGCCCCAGCGATGGCGGCAGCTCCTCATTCCCCGTCAGCTCTGATGGCCTCTCTCCCTTCTCCATGACCTTCACTCCTGACTCCATCAAGGACCCTGACCTCAAGGCACAAGCAACCCCAGCATCTGCCCCCATCCCTACTCCTGCCCCGGCCTCCTCTCAGGCACCCCTGCGGCCAGAGGATGACATTCTGTACCAGTGGCGGCAGCGGCGGAAACTTGAACAAGCTCGAAGAAGCCAGGGTGACGGAACCTGGGTGCTGCCGCAGACCCCTGCCCTCACCACCTCGGTCCCTTCCCCCATCTGTCCACAGCCACCTCCTCCCGCTGCGGAGACCCTTGGTTCCCTGGGAACCCAGTCTAACTCCATCCCACTTTGGGGCAGTGTGGTTCCGCCTGGTCTCCAGGAAGCTTTCCGCATGGAGAGGCCTCCTATTCCCCCAGGGTTCTCTCCACACATCTTTTGGGGTCCCAGTCCCCATGGATTCTTCTGGGCCCCACAGCCCAGTCCCTGGATATCTCTTGGGGTCATCCCTCCAACACTCCCGGCCTCCACCCCAGCGCCCCCGGCCTCCACCCCAGCACCCCCGGCCTCCACTCCTGCCCCTCCAGCCTCAGCCCCTGCGCCCCGTGCCTCCACACCCACGACCCCTGCAGCCCCCCAGGGGCCCCCCATCCCTGCACCAAGCAGCCCAGAGGAGCTCGAGAAGCAGACCTCCAAGCCTCGGAGAAGGAGAGCCCAACGCCGGGAGTCTTCAGGGCGAGTCATGGCCGCGGATGAGCACGAGGGCCCGGGCCCTCAGCTCAGAGGCGCGCTGGGACAGGTGGTGACGGCTCGGCTGTTTCCGGACAGCCTGGAGGACACGCCCCCCCGGCTTGAGGGCCCGCCTCCACACGAGGCTGAACCTCGGAAAGCCAAGGACACACACGCTCTGACCCCTCGCTCAGAGGTCACGGCTCATGTATCTGAATCTCCGGGTCGGTCTAAGGCGGGGTCTCGGAATGCCAAGACCCTGCGCCCCCTAGCGGGATCGGTGCTTAGGAAGGACAAAGACACTCCCTTGGCTGAAGTGTCTGCAGCCCAAGATCCTGCCTCCTCCAGCTGAGGTGGTGGCCACTTGTGTTAAGGCCCCGCCCCCTCCGTTCGAGGCGGGGTCTCTTGAGGTGGTAGCCACGCCCTCACCCTCTGCTGGCCACGCCCCCTCAGAAGACCTGCTCTCCCAAGCTGCCAGACTTCTGCAGGCTGCGGAAGGTGAGAAGGTGTGCACGCCGCGCGTGGCTGCCGTGTTCTGAATGGCAGTCCATTACGCTATGAGTCCGGCCCCTTGAATCTTGCTCCTTTCCCGCTTAGACTCCGATGGCAGCGAGTTCCAGGACGACCCTATACTGCAGGTGCTAAGGATTCAAAGGACGGCGCTGCGCCGGCAGAAAAGGTGACCATCTCCAGGATTTAACACAGCCGGCCCCTGAATTCTGAGACTGCCATGTGGTGCCCACCTCTCCTGAACCCCTTTCCCAGAACATACTAATATCCCAGACCCTAATCCTGAGCAAATACCTCAACCTCTACCCCACTGTCCTTTTTCCAGGAAAGTAGATGCCCAAATAGCCTGCCTGCTGGGCCACCCTGAAGACCCAGAGTCTTGGTCTCCTCCAGCCAGGTCGCCCCCCCAGATCCCCAAGGCTGCAGCTGAGGAGGGAAGGAGCCTCTTTTGAGGCCAGATGACTTTGAATTGTACAGACTCTATTTTTCTTAATAAAAATTTTTTTTTCAGATTAAAAAAAAAAATAATAGGAAATTAAACAACTGACAAAGGATTAATTTCCAAAATATACAAGCAGCTCATACAACTCAATGCCAGGAAAACAAACAACCCAATCAAAAAGTGGGGAAAAGACCTAAACAGACATTTCTCCAAAGAAGACATACATATGGGTAACAAACACTTGAGAAGATGCTCAACATCACTATTATTAGAGAAAAACAATAAGATATCACCTCACACCTGTCAAATAGCCATCATCAAAAGGTCTACAAACAATAAATGCTGGAGAGGGTGTGGAGTAAAGGGGACATTCTTGCCCTATTGGTGGGAATGTAAACTGATGTAGTCACTGTGGAAGACAGTATGGAGATTCCTAAAAAAAAAAAAAAAAAACAACTAGAAATAAAACCAGCATATGACCCAGCAATCCCACTCCTGGGCGTATACCCTGAGGAAACCAAAATTGAAAAAGACATATGTATCCTATTGTTCAATGCAGCACTATTTACAATAGCTGGAACATGGAAGCAACCTAGATGTCCATCTACAGATGAATGAATAAAGAAGTTGTGGTATATATCCATAATGGAATATTACTCAGCCATAAAAAGGAACACATCTGAGTCAGTTCTGATGAGGTGGATGAACCTCACAACCTGTTATACAGAGTGAAGTAAGTCAGAAAGAGAAAGATAAATATCGTATTCTAGTGCATATATACAGAATCTAGAAAAATGGTACTGAAGAATTTATTTGGAGGACAACAATGGAGAAACAGACAAAAAGAGTAGACTCATGGGCATGGGAGAGGAGAGAAGAGGGTGAGATGTAAGGAGAATAACATGGAAACTTACATTACCATATGTAAAATAGACAGCCTATGGGAATTTGCTCTATGGGTCAGGAAACTCAAACAGGGGCTCTGTATCTATCTAGAGGGGTGGAATGGGGCCTGAGATGGGAGGGAGGTTCAAAAGGGAGGGGTACATGTATACCTATCGCTAATCCATGTTGAGGTTTGACAGAAAACAAAATACTGTAAAGCAATTATCTTTCAATAAAAAAAAATTAAAAAGAAAAAAAAGAATGAAGAGATTAAAGTATGCTCTTATGCTCCATGAGACTACATAACACATTTGAAAATCAAGGGGAAATTTCCAACATTTCTTCTTAAGATGCAGAAAATTTGAATAGATCGATGACAATGAAATTATAAAGATAATTAAAGGTATAATCAGGAAAATAGGTGTATTGGAGCAATGCAGTTTCATAGTTGAGTTCCATATAACCTTTAAAGAACACATGCTTAAACAAAAATACATCATTATTTAAACAAAAGCACAAAGGTAGGAACATTTGTGAGGTACAGTACTATGGTTAAAATTTTTTCTGGATGAATATACAAAATGATAAAGAGACATTTATGGAATCAGGGTCTCTCAATCCAAAAGGAAAGGAAAACAATTGCTTGTGTACCACATTACACTCCTGGGTTTATTTTTTCCTCTATTTTGAAAACAATTTGCATGCATTCAGTTCAGTGCAGTCGCTCAGTCATGTCCGACTGAGCAATGGCCATTTGACTGGTGTGATCCCATGGACTGCAGCACGCAAGGCCTCCCTGTCCATCACCAACTCCCAGAGTTTACTCAAACTCATGTCCATCATGTTGGTGATGCTATCCAACCATCTCATCCTCTGTCATCCCCTTGTTCTTCCACCCTCAATCTTTCACAGCATCAGAGTCTTTTCCAGTGAATCAGTTCTTCACATCAGGTGGCCAAAGTATTGGAGTTTCAGTTTCAACATCAGTCCTTCCAATGAATATTCAGGACTGATTTTCTTTAGGATGGACTGGTTGGATCTCCTTGCAGTCCAAGGGATTTTCAAGAGTCTTCTCCCACACCACAGTTCCAAAGCATCAATTCTTCGGCACTCAGCTTTCTTTATAGTCCAACTCTCACATCCATACATGACAACTGGAAAAACCATAGCCTTGACCAGATGGACCTTTGTTGGCAAAGTAATGTCTCTGCTTTTTAATATGCTATCTAGGTTGGTCGTAACTTTTCTTCTAAGGAGCAAGTGTCTTTTAATTTCATGGCTGCAGTCACCATCTGTAGTGATTTTGGAGCCCAAGAAAATAAAGTCTCTCACTGTTTCCACTGTTTCCCCATCTATTTGCCATGAAGTGATGGGACTGGATGCCATGATCTTAGTTTTCTGACAGTTGAGCTTTAAGCCAACTTTTTCACTCTCCTCTTTTCACTTTCATCAAGAGGCTCTTTAGTTCTTTGCTTTCTGCCATAAAGGTGGTGTCATCTGCATATCCGAGGTTATTGATATTTCTCCCAGCAATCTTGATTCCAGGTTGTGCTTCATCCAGCCTGGCATTTCTCATGATGTACTCTGCATATAAGTTAAATAAGCAGGGTGACAATATGCAGCCTTAATGTATTCCTTTCCCTTTTGGAACCAGTCTGTTGTTCCATGTCCAGTTCTAACCGTTGCTTCTTAACTTGCATACAGATTTCTCAGGAGGCAGGTCAGGTGGTCTGGTATTCCCATCTCTTTCAGAATTTTCCACAGTTTGTGGTGAGTCACAGAGTCAAAGTCTTTGGCATAGTCAATAAAGCAGAAACAGATGTTTATCTGGAACTATCTTGCTTTTTTGATAATCCAGTGGATGTTGGCAATTTGATCTCTGGTTCTTCTGCCTTTTCTAAATCCAGCTTGAACATCTGGAAGTTCATGGTTCACATACTTTTGAAGCCTGGCCTGGAGAATTTAGGGCATTAGTTTACTAGAGTGTGAGATGAGTGCAATTGTGTGGTAGTTTGAGCATTTTTTGGCATTGCCTTTCTTAGGGATTGGAATGAAAATGGACCTTTTCCCGTCCTGTGGCCACTGCTGAGTTTTCCAAATTTGCAGGCATATTGAGTGCACCACTTTCACAGCATCATCTTTTAGTATTTGAAATAAGTCAACTGGAATTGCATGCAATAATTTTAATTAAAAAAAGAATTAAGATAATGTGAACAGATAATATCTGTTCTTCCTAATTTTGAGCCCAGGCCTGTGTGCTGGAATAGGTGAGTGAGTCTGGAAGACCTAGGTATTATTATGTGTGGAAATCTATTTGTTCACTTCTAATAATGATTTTACATTCTTCTTTAGTTATATAACATTCAGTTATTATTGGTTAGTTGCTAAGTGTGTTCAACTCTTTGTGATGTTGTGGACTATTGCCAGTCCTTCTCTGTTCATACAATTTGCCAGCAAAAATATTGAAGTGTGCTGTCATTTCCTTCTCCAGGGATCTTCCCAACCCAGGGACTGAACCCACATCTCCTGCTTGGCAGGAGGGTTCTTTACCACTGAGCCAACTGGGAAGTTCAACCTTCATTTACAGCTGGTCATATTGCCACCTAGGTGTGTGTGTGTGTGTCCAGTCATGTCTGACTCTTTGAGACCCAATGGACCATAGCCTGGCCGCCTCCTCTGTCCATGGAATTTTCTGGGCAAGAATACTGGAGTGGGTTGCCATTTCCTCCTCCATAGTATAAGATTATAATTTCCTGCTCCCTTTTATGTAAATTATGGCTGTTATTGAAGATATTTTCATTAAAATCAAGTTACATGTTTTGTGTCATTTTGGAGGATTCTTAAAAGGAGGGACAAGCTTTCTTCTTCCCTATTTTCCATTTTGCTGCTTGAAAGGCAGGCATTGTTAGCTGAAGGACACATAGCCATCTTGAATCACGTAGTTAAACCACATTTGAAAAATGGGAGATAAGGGAAGCCTGACCTTGATATCCTGGAGCTAATCTATAAAACCTGGAATAGATCATTTTGGATTGTTCTACAGAGTCCAAAGCTTTTTTCTTGTTTTATAGGGAAAGCATTTTCCTCCTGTATCACCAATTAGGTTGTCATGCTAAATCAGAGATCATATGAATGTGTATTTTTCCCCCCCAGTCCAGATTGCAAAATCAAGATAAAAACATGAAAGTAAGGCTAGGTCTGGAGAGAATTTAAAGAAATAATCTAAGAGTCAATTTTGTAATTTCAGATCTATTTAAGTAAATAGTGAAGGTGAATTCCACAAGGGCTGCTTACCATGTGATTGGCAATGAAGAATTCTGAAAGAAGCTACTCTTTACCCCAAAGATAGAAGATTCCACTAAGAAAAGTGTTTCTACCTATTTTAAAAGAAAAACTATGCTTCCTCACAGTTTCTTCTTAATCTGGTACCCAAAACATCAAGAGCCAACTTTCTATCCTAGATTAAAAGACGAAATGTCAAGTAGAGATTGAATAAGCAGAGTATGAATATGGTCCCAACATTTCATGGCAAATGCAAAGGGAAAAAATGAAAGTAGTGACAGATTCCCCCCCTCCCCCACTTTGGGCTCCAAAATCACTGTGTATGGTGACTGCAGCCATGAAATTAAAAGATGCTTGCTCCTTGGAAGGAAAGCTATGACAGACATAATGTATTAAAAAGCAGGGATGTCACTTTGCTGACAAAGGTCTGTCTAGTCAAAGGTATGGTTTTTCCAGTAGTCATGTATGAATGCGAGAGTTGGACCACAAAAAAGCCTGAAGACCAAAGAAGTGATGCTTTCGAATTGAGGTGTTGGAGAAGACTCTTGAGGGACCCTTGAACTG